GGAGGAGGAGGAGGAGGAGGAGGAGGAAAACAACCAGCTGGCCTTCCTGGATGTCCTCGTCTGCCGCAAAGATTGTGGTGGCCTATAAACCAAAGTGTTCAGGAAAGCGAAAAATACGGCACAAATACTGAACTTCAATAGCAACCACCCGATCAGTCACAAACGCAGTTGCATAAGGGCGCTATACCGGCGCGTTGAGACGCACTGCAGTGAAATGGAAGACAGGGTTGCCGAATAACAATATCTTCAACGGATACTGAGAACCAATGGTTACCCGCGCAACTCTGTCAACCAGTGCATACCAAAAGGACACCAGAGACCAAATCCAACCGGGCCTAAATTTTGGCGGACTCCTCCATACGTGAAGAACGTCTCGGAAGCTGTCAGTCGTCTTCTCACTCCACTTGGAGTTGGGGTTGCACACAGGCCGGAAGCAACCATTAGGCGCCAAGTCATGAGGCCAAAAGATCCGCTGCCACAGCAGGAAACGTCTGGAGTCGTCTACCGGATCTGGTGTAGTTGCGGACAAAGCAATTATGTCGGAGAAACTGGGAGATTAATCCGTACGCGAATTGGCGAGCACGCAGCAGCAGTGAGGCGGGGAGACACTAGCTCTCAGGTGGCGGCACACTCGACGGGATCCGGCCATATTTTCGAATTTCAAGAGGCCCAAATCCTCGCAAGGGCGTGACAACCGAGTGAGCCGCGAGCTGCTCGAGTCATGGTTCTCAGGCCCGCAATCCATCAACATGCACAATGCCCTCCCGGTACCATAGTCCGTGCTGAGATTTTCCCTGGGCAGGGGAGTCATTCATGTGAGGAGGGCGCGGACGAGCAATTATCACAGTGACAGTGAGCCAATTTGCCGAGCAATCGTCACATCAGCATCCAGCACGGATGACGAAATCACGGCCATTTACGACTCGGACTCGGACTGACAAGCCACCACCGCATCGATTACGACCCCAGCGGTGATTGCGAGAACTGTTGATTGCAGTGCGCATACGGTCCCACGGCAGCCACGTGCTATAATTACTGCACTCCTAGTGCCACCATCACCTTTATCTGCGAATGTCTCTGATGATGGATTCGAGTGAGAATCCGAAACGTCAGGCCAATAAATTTCTTGTTCCAGTGATCGCATCTTCGTCTTTTGAAAGGAAACTGACCATTCAGGTTTGTCTCGCACGGAATGTATTCTGACCAGGCAGGCTAAATGATTCATAGGAGCCTTTTTTGTTAGTAGTTTTCATAAAGTTATTCGAGTGATTTAGTCCTTATATCCTGTTTTCAGATCAGACTTATAGCTATTTCCAAAACTTCCGACGCAGCCGTTTTGCATAAGCAAGCCGATTATCAGGCCTGAATGAACTTCATGCGTCTTTCAAAATCTTGCCTCCAAATGAAGGATAAAACAGGGAAACCTCCCAAGAAGATCGATAGTCACTCCGCGATCTGCCGCAGATCTGCAGGTAGTCAACGTGGTACAGGCCCCCAAAGTCGAAGCGATCAGAATGCAAAGCCGGGATACCGCTATTTTATAACGCCTCTCAATATTTGGCGCTCCCAGCG